AGAGGGGATTGTCTTGTCTGTACCCAGGGGATTTTAATGTATGGAGGTGACACAGAGAGGCCAATGCCATTGAGAAAGATTTATTACATTTCCTGAGAGAGAGAAGGGGGTGCCTCGCCATACAGGGCCCCACGAGAGCGCCAGGTTTGGTCAGGAGGCAGAAGTAGGGGCAGGGGGAGTCAAGGCCAGATTCTTCATTGGGGCTTCCACGCAGGACAAGGGAACAGCTCAGGACTGGCTGGTTTGAATAATTCTAGTGGGCTCTGGGGAAAGACAAGTGTCTCTAAGTTGCCACATATGTGGCCCTGGGGTGATTTAGGGCAGAGGAAATATTGACATGGAATGTGGGAGTTAATTAATAGATGGTTGGGGCTATAGACTTGGGTTTGGTTGGCTTGTGTATAAAAAGCATGCTCCTGGCTCAATCCTTTACTATCTGTAAGAATTGCCTAGCCTTAGGAGGGCAAGTCTCTCCCTGGTCTGTAAGGCTCCCAAATGTCACAGCATCAAGAATACAGAAAATAAGAAAATACAGTTAATATAATCAGCCCTGTGATGAAAAAATGCCCAAGATAAACGCAGAAATCTAAGAAAACACAGGACAGGTGCCTCCTCTGGGCCAGGCCTCTGCCAAGCCCGTGGTATGCTTTAGTGCAGGGAAATCTCACTGTGTTATTTCCTCCAACTTAGAAGTGAGGAGATGGAGGTCCAGAGTGCTCATATCACCGCCCAACATCAGTCAATCGGCAGAGGTAAGGTTTGAGCCCAGTGTCATCAAGACCGGGCTCCTAACCCTGCCATGGTGCCTTTCCATGCAGGGGATGGCTTTCTCAGGCCTGGGCGCCCACACAGCCAGGCCAGGCTGATCCAGCTGCCTCTGTGGGGAGCTTCCTGCTGTCCGTGTCCACAGGGCTCAGGAGGCCAGCGTCCCCTCCCTCCCTCCCACTGGAATCCCCCGAGATGGACTGAAACCTTTGATGTGACATAAACAGTGACTTCTGACGTCTGCATGTTACCTTGGTCCTGCCTGCACCAAATTTCAGCATCATCATGTATTTGTGGAGTGCTCAGATGCATTAGGAGCTAGACTTGCAACGAGAGTCTCAGTGGCTTCGGGAAATACACATTTGACTCCGTCAGTATTTGTCTCTCACCTTCTCTGTGCCAGGCATGGGGCAGGGGTGGAACCCAACGGACAGGGCCTCTGCCCCCTCGGCGCTCACAGCCCATCTAGTGCAAACCCCACAAAGTCATCAGGGGACTTCTCCCCACCACGGTCCGCGGAGGCTGCGGCGGCCACGCTCTTGCTCAGGAGGCACTGGGGAGCCACTGAAGGCTGCAGCGGGGGTGGGTGGCTGTGTCAGGGCACTCGTGCCAGAGCGAGGGTGACCTCGGCCCAGGTGGTGCGGACAGAGGCGGAGGCGCGCACTCGGGGTGAGGGCACAGGACCCGGCCCCCGGGCTCCGGAGTCTCCCTGCCCGCCCTGGCGCTGCCCCTCGCCCCTGCCACCCCGCCCTCCAGCCCCGGGGTCTCTCCCGACGCGGACCGAGGGACCTTCCGGGCCGTAGACCTCTGCAGACTCCTGCCGCCGACTGCGACGCAAAGCGGCGCTCATCCTCCACAGTCAACAGTCGGCGCGAGAGGAATCCGGGGCCCAGGCTAGCCAGCTGCACGCATGCGCGGCGCTCTCGGCCGCCGTAGACTACAACTCCCGCCGTGCCCCGCGTGCGCGTGCGCCTCCCGGAAGTGGTCGCTCAGGTCGTCTCCGACTTCTGCGCGAGGGGCGGGGCGCTAGCTGGTCTGGGGAAGGGGCTGGAGCGAGGACCCGATGCGGGGAAGGGAAGTCGGAGATGGCTTCGGCTGGAGGCGGCGGCTGCGAGGGCGCCGCGCCGGAGGCTGACCGTCCGCACCAGCGGCCCTTCCTGATCGGGGTGAGCGGCGGCACTGCGAGCGGAAAGGTAAGGGGCCGCGCCGGCGCCCCCACTGTCATCTGTGCCCCGGGGAGGCCCGATCCGGCCGCGGTCCTGAGAAGAAACCCTAGCCCAGCTGCCCACGTGCACCATCCCAGCAGGGGTAGGGCGGGGAGAGGAGGGTCGCGGGCCCAGGGGCGGGAGGGGCCAAGGGGCCGCGGGCCGCCAGTCCTCGGGCTCCTGCTCCCCAGCCTCCTCGGGCCCCATCGGTGCCGCCCCATCGGTGCACCGCGGCCCTCCCGCCGAGACCAGCCCCACCTGTGGCTGGCCGGCTGGGCAGCCCCCCGGGGGGCTGGTAAGGCAGTGTCTCCAGAAGCCAGCTCCATGCGGAAGCGCCCAGGAAAGGCCCTGTGCCTGAGGCAGAAGAGGTTCCAGGTGGGGAATCCGGTTTCTGTATCCCCAGTCGACTGTGTGTGAGAAGATCATGGAGCTGCTGGGACAGAACGAAGTGGACCATCGACAGCGCAAGTTGGTCATCCTAAGCCAGGACAGGTTCTATAAGGTTCTGACGGCGGAACAGAAGGCCAAGGCCTTGAAGGGGCAATACAATTTCGACCACCCAGGTAAATCTAGGCAGCCTGACAGAGGGGAAACTTGGAGAGGAGGGCAGCCTGCCAGACTGGACAGCCAGCTCACCAGCTAGTGCTTGGGCCCAGGGTTGGCATGGGCTGCAGACAGACCCGAGTGGTTCCATGAACTCACCCAGGGAGCCCACGATGGAATGGGCTGTGTGGCCAAGTCAGGAGGACTTTGCTGAGCTCTCTGGGCCCTGGGTACCCCCAAAGGAGCTTGGCAGGAGCCAATCAGGAAGTGTGCGGCCTGGAGGGGCCTTCAAGACCCCTGCATGTCACAACCGTGGTTGTGGAGAAGTCTACTCACCTTCCCTGTCTCCACCCTGCTGCTGTTGGAACCCTTTGCCCACTATGGCCTTTCATTTCCCCACGTGTCCTGGGGCAAAGTCCTCAGACAGAACGGATGTGGGAAGTGGGTAAACTAGAGCGGGTGGCCCTGAAGCTTCGTTTCCTAGACTGGTTAAGGGCCAGATGAGCAGGGAGAGATGGGACAGGAAGTTACCTACTACTACTGGAGGATTCCACTCTGGGTGGCTGTCATTTTCAACCTTCTCAGAGACATGTAGGCCTATGACACAGCAGTCTAACTCTGGTAATTCCGAGAAAAAGAGAGAAGCAGAGGCCTAACCTACCTACCTCCCAGCACTGGCTGATCAGAAAATCCCTGTGTTCCAACTTCTAGGTGGGACAGAGTTTGGGCAGTGACACTGCCTGGAGGGGCAGTAGGGATAGGCTCAGCCTGTGGTTTGCAGGACTGCAGAGGGCCCTGTTGCTACCAAGCTTGTAGGGGCAGCTCCTAGTGTAAATGTTCCTAGGGTCCTTGGTATTCTCAGCACCCAGCTGTGCTGACCCCGAGGCAGAGGGAGTTTGTTCCCATCTGCTGCACAAGGCAGCTGGGTCATCTCACCTTTTGCTCCATCCCTGCAGATGCTTTTGACAATGATTTGATGCACAGAACTCTGAAAAACATCGTGGAGGGAAAAACTGTCGAGGTCCCAGCCTATGATTTTGTGACCCACTCCAGGTAAGTAGGTGGTTTCTGGGAGGGCCAAGGAGAGGGGCTGGTTAGGGCATCCCCTCTTGGGCTTATACAGACACTCCATGGTGGGCCCTGCCCTTCTTGGTTTCTGTGGAACCCCCACCCTCCCACCTCACTGCGATGTGCCACCTGCATGGAGTCAGTGGCTCTGGGACTGAGGCTGACTGTGCACAGGTCCGCAGAGACCCTGTGTCTCCAGCAAGGCCCATTTCCTGTCTCCCCCTCACAGGTTACCGGAGACCACAGTGGTCTACCCTGCAGATGTGGTGCTGTTTGAGGGCATCTTGGTGTTCTACAACCAGGAGATCCGGGACATGTTCCACCTGCGTCTCTTCGTGGACACAGACTCTGATGTCAGGCTGTCTCGAAGAGGTATGGCGGTTATAGGCCTGTCTACCCCTGGGCAAGGCTGGCCGAGTCCCGAGGTCTGAACGTTGTGCTTTGTTCTTGCTGCTGCAGTTCTCCGGGACGTGCACCGAGGGAGGGACCTGGAGCAGATTCTGACCCAGTACACCACCTTCGTCAAACCAGCTTTTGAGGAGTTCTGCCTGCCGGTACCCACCTTTCACTTATTTGAAAATTCTGTTTCTCCCTTTTCAAAAGGACACATGGTGCCAAGTTCTGTGAGAGAGCTGAGTTCTGGGTGAAAGTGATCTGATTTATAAATGGAGAAGAATTTAGCTCATTATTACAGCCAAGTGCCCAGGGAATAGTCCTCAGCTCTAAAAACATCCTCTGCACTTGCTCCTCCCTCTGCCTAAAGAGCCCTGCCCCTCCCCCACAGTTCCCCAGGCTCATCTCCCCAGCTGTCCCCTGCACTGACCTCCCACTTCACTCTGAACACCCTCTGCTCCCTCCCCAGCCTCTCTGCCACTTTCTTTTTCCAGGGCACTTATCATCTGACAGACACACGTATTTTACTTAGTCCTCCTTAGAGTGATAAACTCTGCAAGGACAGGGATTTTTGTTCATGGCCAAAAATGCTATCTGGCCTGTAGTAGGCGATTCTGAACTGTCACTCAGGCGCTGCGTCCTCCAGGCTGCCTGTGGCTGCACTGAGGTCCCTGCTGGATGGCAGAGAGAAGGATTTACTGCTGGGCAGCCCCCTGTCTTGTTTTCCATCTTCTGTTTCTAACTTGCTGGGACTTTTGGCTCTACTCAAATTGAGTGTTTTAAAGAGGAACTTGGCTGGTTAGCTCACTTGGTTAGAGCGTGGTGCTGATGACACCAAGGTCAAGGGTTTGGATCCCCTTACTGGCCAGCTGCCAAAAAAAAAAAAAAAAAAGGAGACAAACGTAACAGTATTTTGCTTAGGTAAAAGTACAGCACAAAGAAACTGGAACCAGGATTCCTGCTTTAGATAAGTAGAATATATAAGTTCTTTTTTTTTTTTTAAAGATGACTGGTAAGGGGATCCAAACCCTTGGCCTTGGTGTTATCAGCACCACGCTGTCCCAAATGAGCCACAGGCCGGCCCTAGAACATATAAGTTCTACCTCCTGCTATTTAAAGAAAAAACTTTAAAAAATTTTTTTTTTACATTCATGTTCTTTCGTGTGCTGCACTGGAAAAAAATTTGAAAAGTAAATTGAATGTTACAGTCTTTCTCTCATTCACAGTAAGACATTTGGCAAAGTGGGTGGTTTGCAATAAAGCCTTGGACACCAGATCTGACCTAGTGACCCCAAGGACGTGTTATTACCTGCCCTGTTCTGGGCCCGAGCCACAGTCATTTTTGAGCCTCCCTTTCCCTCACCTTGCACATTTAGCCACTTGTACGGTCCCACCAAGATGACCTCATAAATATTTCCTGACCATATCCCTCTCCCACCCCTGCTGGCAATTACAATCCTCCTCAGCTCTTTCCTGGACTTCTGCAGCTTCTGGGCTACCTCTCCCCTGACCCCTCCAACCCACTGTCCATACCACATCAGATGATCTAACCAAACAAAACCAGCTCTGGCCCTCTTGTGCTCATGCTTCTCCTGGGATGGATGTCCCCTTGCTGCCTGCAGACACAGCTGTCCCTGGGACTCAGTCCCTGTCTGCCTCTGTAGCTCGTCTCTGTGACATGCCTCCTTGACCCAAATCCCTCGGCCCAGACAATGCCCTCCCTCCTGCGGCTTTGCCTGATTCAGGTGTGTCCCCCTCAGCAGCATCTTCCTCCCTGGGGTTCCCTCCTCAGTGGCCCTGCATTTCCTCTTCTATCTGACAGGGAATAATTATCAATTGGCATTAGAGCAAATGAACGGATGAAGGAAGGAAAGTGAGCAGGTCCTGCTGGGTGTCTTTCCGTGCAGCGTAACCGTGTTAACATAGGATTCTGCACACTGTGTCCTGTCCTGCTGGCCCCTCCAGGGTTTTTGCAGAAAGGTTCGTAACTCCAGGGGAATGATATCACGCATAGTGACAGGGCGCCACACTCACGCCAGCACAGGGAATCCACTATAGTGGTATTCATGGGAAAGAACAGGAACAGAGTATTTCAGACACTGTAAGTGGCACTTTCTTTTGGTTGTCTTCACTTCATCTTCTGCCTCACTTCTTGGGTGACTGTCTCCCACCTGGTTGATAACTTTGAGTCCCTGTTCCCATCTGCCGATGACACTGGCACCTCTGAGCACCTTAAAATTACCTTGGGAGGAAAAATCCTCACGAGACCCTCATTTGTGCCTTGCAGACAAAGAAGTATGCAGACGTGATCATCCCTCGAGGGGTTGACAATATGGGTAAGAAACAGGCCCGATGGGCTGCCCAACTCCTGTCCCTGTCCCGGAGCCATGAAGCGGACGGCTACGTCATGCTGCTGTTACGGAGAACTCCCAAATACACGAGGCCTATCAGTGTTTATCTGCTCTAAAGTATTTTTTAAACTGTTTGATAGGGCTTGTCATTTGTTAGCAGAAGTTTTTTTTTTTTTATAAAAGATGACTGGTAAGGGCATCTTAACCCTTGACTTGGTGTTGTCAGCACCATGCTCTCCCAAGTGAGCCAACTAGCCATCCCTATATAGGGATCCGAACCCGTGGCCTTGGTGTTAAATCAGTACCGCACTCTCCCCAGTGAGCCACGGGCTGGCCCTAGCAGAAGTATTTTAAAAGACCTGTGCTCCAGTGGGTCGTG